TTACCCTGCTGGGCACCAAAAGAGAGCTGACGGATGCAAAAAAAAAACCCTCAACCCTAAACCCTAAACCCTAAACCCTCAACCCAAAACCCTAAACCCTATACCCTAGACCCTATACCCTAGACTCTAAACCCTATATAAGCTCCGTACCAGGCCCTGAGCCACGAATGGTTCACAGGAAAGGCTGGGCCAGCATCGGGCAAAGCGGCTGCGGGAAAGTAGTGCCCTTGGATGCAACTTTTGAGGGTTTACTATATGTAATAATAGTAGGAATACTAGTAAGTCAAGATAGTAGTACTAATAATAGAAATAGCAATGAAAATGGGAAAGAAAATGGAAGCTACTGCAGTATATTATTGGGGATTGTTTTTCGCTTGGCCAGACATCATGGCTATGCTAGTGGCAAATTGGCCGGCTACTGCCCTTCGCACTTCCGAATTTGCAGCTGTGTGCTTGAATCTGTTGCCCTTCCTAAGGCCCGTGGAAGCCTCTTTGAGTCCAACTGCCGCTCCACCTCCCTCAAGGGGAGGCCGCTCTCGCACGTCTCCTTTGATGCAAGCTATAGTCTGAACTCCTTAAAGGGGGTTATATAGGGGATTATGTAGCAGATTTTTATAAGGGTTATTCTGGCGAGTACTAGGAGACAAGTAAGATTATCCTTGATGTGAAGCCTGTTGTAATCTCGGACCCCTTGTAATCTTGCCCTCCCAAAACACTTGGCCGGGGGCACGGTCAACAAACTTTTCTGCAGCAAGGCCCCCACGGTTCTGAGGTCTCTGGGGATTGATTTAACTGAAGGGTATGCTTTGGATTCTCTTCGGGCCCCCAAATCCAAACACAGCACAAGAGAGCGGTCTCACAATGGTCTGAAACTCTGGAGGTGTGCGCACAAACACCTTCAAGAGGACCGTAATAGAATCAGGTCCAACATTACTTGCTGCAAGCTTGCAGCTCAAGCAGGACTACATTCGAAACAACTATCCGGTTTCTTCCATGATCCGCACGAATTTGAGATTCGTCTTTGGTTTTCTGCTGCATTTTTTCTTTTTCGGGGGCCTAAACGAGGTGGCTGTTTCAAGCAACAACTGCTGACAGATGCAACTCTGATGATGCTGCAGGCAAGAGAGGTACGACTCAGAAATTTGCCGGGGCCTCCTTCGATGCGACCTCTGGCTTTCAAGCCAAGTACTGATTCTGCATTATTATGACCATTATTATTAGTATTATTATCAGTACTATCATTACTGTTACTAGTAGTATTACTTCATTACTCTTCTTACTATTATCATCATTATTCATATTATTGTTGTAACTATTATTTCTGTTTGATGGCTGTTGCTGGCTCAGGCGCCTGATGGTGCCGTCACCAGCCTGGGGCCTCATGTGAGCCATAGTCTAAACTCCTTAAATACATAAGGGGGTTTCCCAAAATCAAAGGTACCTTTTTGAAGGTCCCTATAGTAGGGCTTATAGTATTTTGGGGTCTACATTGGGGTCCCCCTATTTTGGGAAACTACCATATAGGGGAGAATTTTTAGGGGCTTATGAAGGGATACTAGGAGTTTAGACTATAGCTCAGGTTGTTGTTGCTTCAGGCTCAAAGCAGGTAAGCCTTTGACTGGCTCAGGGCGACCGTCTGAAGGCAGCGAGGCGGCACACGCTGCGCAGAATGAAGCTTTCCAGCGGTAATGGAGACCTATGATTAATAAACCCTCTGTTAAGGGCCTTAATATTAGGATCCCGACTATAATCCCTACTAAGGGGAGGGGGTTTATTAATCAGGAGTTTTGGTTATGCATCAATGATGTTTGCTCTGGTGCAGGTCACGGCCCCAGGTTCCGGTGATGCTGCGCGCCCGACGCACCTTCACTGAACTTGAATTATTATGTACTCTATTATGTTATGCTCTAATAACCTGTATTATGCAGTTCTTTGGTATAGTAGATTCTCCTCTACTATAATATACGGTTCTTTCCTATATTATATTTCATTACACTACAACATACAGTCCTTTCCTATACTATATCATATTCTACTATAATATACAGTCCTTTCCTATATTTTATATGATATTATACTATAATCTGCGGTTCTTTTCTATATTATATTATCTTATAATATACAGTTCTTTCGCATCCAGCTTAGGTCCCGACGGGGTGGGCGCCTAACCACACGTCACAAGCTCAAACTTGAGAGATTTGGGTGGCCAACTGCCCATAAGAGTTGTGAGGATTCCTGCCATTTAAGGTTCCAGAGTAGACCAGAAGTGACATGCATGCCATCGAATCTATCTTCCGCCTTTCACATGAATCCGGCTTCATAGTTTGAGACACCAACCCGGAGTTGCATAAGTAGTACCTAATCGTGCATTCAAAACTGTTTCTGTTTGGACGTGAAGCAGCAAGAGATTTGATGTGTCGTCCTTTTTCGCACGGGCTTTGGGGGTGTCTCAAAACATGTGGTCGCTGGCTGCAGCCTCCTGGGCTTTGGTGCTGATGACCCACCAGAATACTTTCTGGATCTTTCTAGGTAAGGTTTCTAGATACCTTCTTGAAGATGCACCGCAGCTCGCAATGAGAATATCATGCCTTCCTGTTCGACGGCGGACAGGCTTGTGTTGCAGGCGAGCAGCTTTGTAGCTCCGGCACCAGTTTATGAGAACACCTAAGCGGTGTCAGGTCAGGTGCTGGAGTTTGTGTGATATTTACAGTTTCCTTCTAAGAAGGAGATCGGATTGTACTGCAGTTGTTGTTTTAGCAGCAGTGACTGCATGTGTTTCGTACTCGGCGATCGATGCCGTTTGTCAGCGTTTGAAAATGGATTTCTTCATATTCCTTGATTTGACTGGCATGAGGCGCATGCACGTGGAAGTCTTTAGATCTCGGTTGGGATCTCGCGGATTCTGTGCTGATGATTACGTGAGTTTTGTTGCAATGAGCTGACCACATGTGAGAGTGCTCCATAGCACTCCAAAGCCTGAACAGCTTGGTCATATGGTTGCAAGTTGCTCAGCTGCTTCTGCCATGTCACGTCATGTGGCTTTGGGCTCTTTGGGCTCTGTAGGGCAACAATCCGTGCCACGCGATGCGCCCTGGCCTCCTGGGTGCTTAGTCCCTCTGCATCTCGACAGCATGGCAAGGGTAGTTTCGACAGGTTCCTGTCGTTTTGGAGTATCGCATTGTACCCAAGCTATCTGCCCCAGCTCGATCCTGGGTCAACCACCGGTTTGATGTTGCCCACGTCTCTTAGCCCAACTCAATTCCCTGGGCATTTTCGCAGGCGCTTGGCCTTGTGGAGGTCTCTCTGAGTTTGGTCACATGCGTCTGTCTCAGGAGTGCTGAGGGCCGTATGTGGGTGAACAGCTGCCGCCTGCCGAAACCACATCTCTCGGTTTTGAAGCGCACGTCAGGCCATGGCACAAATGCTACTCAGAAACTGGACCAATCGTGTATCAGGGTTTCTCACCCGGGAACTCCCGTACAGGATTGTGGAGCACAACTTGAGGATCTGTTCATCCTTGTTAAGAGGGCCTCCCAGTTTGGTAATTCCGAAGCAATGGCCTGCCTTCACCCATCTTCCAAAGCCTCCAGGATCTTCAAGGCCTTCAAGGGTGCTCGATTCCTGATGCCTAAGTTGGACTTTGGAATTTCGAGCTTCGGCGGTGGCTGCTGCTCTGCCGGCTTGATGCAGCCCAGCCTCGAGACATTTTCGGGGCTTGGTGACGAAGTGGAAACTTCGGCTCGGACTAGGGTACTTATAGAGGGCATCGGCTGCCTCCGCCCTGTGTGATTGCACCACAGTGCAGGTTCGAGACACTGCGATGCACCAGGCAAAAGACTTGGAGCAGACGTCATGAAGCCGAGAGGTGCAGCAAGTCCACGGGACCTGGATTCCTGGATCCTGGCAAGCTGGAATACTGGCGACCTTCTCGGAGACGAGCGCTGGAGCAAGCTGTGTACCCTCGAGTTCCCCGGAGCCTTACATCTTGCATAGCAGCTAAGCACTAGGTAAATACGCTAAGTCATCAGCTTGGTTCTGTCTTTCGGGCATTCCCCAGACCCTGAACTTGCCTTTGATGGATTGGGCTCGTCGTTCCTGGATGCTTCGACGTGCTGATGCGTCGCGTGCCATCCCCGAGATTCTGGGCGGGTGAGGGCCTGCAAGCAACTGCCTGCGGATTTAGGTTGTGAAAGCTATGCAACAGAGCCGGCAAATCTCATCATCCAGGGCATCTAAGAACCCAAAACAATAACGTTTGTTTGTGCAGTTTGAACATTTGCCAAACTTGCAGTTTGGTGTCTCAGCTGCGTGCTCAGGGTGAGGCGATGGGTGATGAGGCAGAGCAGCCCAATGCCGCAGAGGCAGAATCGTGGACGTGCCTAGAAAGCCTTTGGGCTGGGTCAAGCCGATGTCTTAAGATTCTAGAAGCGATATCTCCTAGAAGTCATGGAAGGCACGTAGATGGGGACATTCGCGCAGGAAGGCGATCCCAAGGCGCAGGGCGAGAAGACAGAAGAGGTGAACCTCGAGGTGAAGGATGCTAAGGGCGATGTCGTGGAAGTTGAGGATGACGATGAGGCTTCACAGCTAGCAGACTAGTGCCAGGCTCTGCTTTGGGTTTGCTGTGTGTCCTACCAGGCTGACAAAGGGGAGAGGCCTGCACCTAGACATCTGCTGTGGATGACGGTTGACAGTCCAGTATGTCAGGCAGAAGAAAGCACGCACGGTGGCGGTCTCAGCCTCCAAGGAAGAAGCTTCAACCAACGGAGACGCGAAGGAGGTCAGCTATTCAGTCTTTGCCAAAGCCAAAGCAAGCCCTCTGACTGCCTGATTTGAGCTTAGGGATGGAATATAAGGGAATATATGGGGATTACAAAGGAAAATGGAAACTACAATTTTTAATCCCAACTTCCGCAAAGTGAGAGGATGTTCGCTTGAATCCCTTATGCAGAGAGCTTGGAGGCTGGTGAAAGATATTTGGCCGTGCGTCACCTCCCTTCTGCGGCAAAGCACCGAGACTGGTGTGGACCCCGGAGTTACTTATCCACGTCCTCACCGAGGGCCTATACTGGGCTAGGCTTGCTATGAAGGTGCATTAAGGATTGCCTAGGCGATGTATCTAGAGAACGGGGCGGCAGCGTGCATTCCAAAATTATGACAAAACGCTCTGTAGGCCTGCAGGTTCAGAAAAGAATATTTTTACGACAGGGCTAGATCAGACCTAAGATTGCCTTGGTAACCAGAGATCAGCCTGGATCCCCTTGTGGCTGACACGGAGTCGCAGCCTGGAACCAGTAGCCCATCTCAGCCATGTCAGGTTCGACAAGTATGGCTCTGCCGGCAAGATCCAACACGTCTCATTTTTTGGCAGGGACCTGAAGCTGCTGTTGACATGTGTATTAATTGGGTCATTCCCCCTCTGCAACTGTTGGTGCAGCCGTCGATGCCTTGCAAAGCAAGGGTCCGCGTGACCCAAAGGCAATCAATCAATCAATCATTCCCCCTCCCAGTAACTGTCCTTAAAGGGGCCTTATTAAGGGGTTCTTATAACTCCTAT